CTCGGTCTGTAACGTGACCAAATTTGAACGGCGCCATGACACCCGCGACCGTGCTGCCACCCCGAAAAAGTTGCGTATTTGACAATTTATTTTCGCAGCGTTGATGTGTAATTAATTATAACAATTAAATTAGGTATCGTATCTGGTAACAAACACGTGTGGGTATAGACGATTTGTCATACAGTAAGTACAGTTGTATGCAGTAAAATCCTAGAGGCTACTGTCCCTTTAATTATATATAGTTAACTGTTAAACTACATTGGATAAACCTTGCAGGTTATCATTAGCTAGAGTGAGCTATTAGGGCCTAATCTAGCTGCTTAACTCTGGGCACCCATGGCGATCGTAAACAAATTAGTGGGACCGTTGGCGAGCGCACAGGGCGAAAAATATTTTTTAGGTATCTAGGTAGATGTATAACAACAACATTAAAATGAATATCATCCTGATATATAACACAATTGTTTCAATATATCCATGGATATGTTTTCTTTTTACCTCAGATAAGTAACAGAATGAACCAGAGCTCTGCTAATTTGGGCGTTTTATGAATTTTGTAATTTTGGCGTTTTGCTAGAGGTCGTAATTTGGGCGCCGGTATTTGGTATGAAAAACGGCTTGGATTAGGCCCTAGCTGTGGAGCCCAGCGTGTGAAATTAACGGGAGTCCGCAGTCAAATACTCCCAGATTTACTGTCGGACTCCTCGATTTGACGTATGCAGGAGTCTGTGTGACTCCCTGAAAATTCTGCCATACTACCTAGTTCGTTCCAGAGCACGGCCTCGTGGAAATACCGTATTTTTTCAGCTAATATCCAAAGAAAATTTGACAGACGTGCAACCGCATGATAAGCACATGCGTTATTGTTAATATCTTTAATTTTGAACCTCAGACTGCGGACTCCCTTATTTTGCTGCGGACTCCCTTTTTTTGAGGGTAGGGAGTCCAGTCCGTTGGACTCCCGTGTTCAAAAGTTAATTTCTAACCCTGGGCGTAGTAGCCAATACGTACTAGCCTATTGCTTAGTCACCCACGTGCATGGCCGACAGTGTTTACCTCATTACTGTGATCGTATGCTCTTTAATTCATTACAGGCGAGGCCTTTGCTCCCATCAACTTTGGTGGCGTCTATCTTCCCCTTGAGCGGCTGAGCAGTGAGTGCCACAAGTGGCCGCTTGTACTCACCTATGACGCCGCACACTTCTCCGCTCTCGTCACCATGGATACGGCAAACCGTGACCCGAAGCTTCCCGTCGTCGTGCCGCTGACAGGTACGGCATGCTGTGTGTGTGCGTGCGTGTATACGTGCATGCGTGCGTGCACTTTGACACTTGATTATTTTTTGGCAAAGCTTTGTCCAGTAGGACCAGTACATAATTGACTTGGCTGTGCCCCATACTTAAGTATGGTGTTCTTTGACTTAGTAGTACTTGCTTAAGATAACGTTTGGTTAACAAGTCGGTCTCTAGTATTCATTGGCAATTTCTCATAATTTCTAGTCATTTGGCCTATTACTGTTATTATTTCAATTATCTGGTTAAAGTGATTTTGTTAAATAAAATTAAGAAAAAGAAAGAATGTTGGTTAAAAAGTTAAAAAGTTAAGTTGGTTAAAAGAGTTTTTTTGCAAAATAATGAAAATATACAAAATAATATAACATTTCAATATTTTGGGAATCGAATCGAAGGAATCGAAGGAATCGTATTGAGAAGCTAATATTGAGAGGTATGTGTATCGTTACAGCCCTATTATCTAGCTGAGCTTACCCTCGTTATTGCCCGATTGTTTTTATGGGTAGATAAGAGCTCAGATCTGCTAACGATGCACTTTGCCGTCGACGTCGGTGCGGAATTCTGCTGGAGCGACCTGCAGACAGAAGGAAAGCTCCCGCGTTCAGACCTGACGAAGAAGCAGAAGCTGGACCTGGTACATAGGTGAGAACCTCTCTGCTCCAGTTCGGTTTCCTTCTCTTGATCACTTCCATTGTTTCACATCCATGCTCGTCCTAGTTTGTCTGATTTCAGTTCAATTTAATTCAATCCATGTTAATTCAATTCAATCCCTTTATGTAAACTTTGGGGATTACATTTGAATTACATTTTGATGGTACTTTATTTGCTAAACAAATGAATTAACAAAGCTTATTAATTTAAAGAAATTAAACTAATTAAATAGAAGTTACGGAGGGCAAAATGACAATTCAGAGATTTCTTCCTCGTTCTCAACCGTCTCTATTCTTTCCAAGTCACTCTTGTTAGCACAAGATTTTCCTCGTCCTTGCTTAACCACTCTCAACCTTATAAGTCTTCTCTCATCCTTGTTTAACCACCCTCAACCTTGTGAGACTTCTCTCATCCTTGTTTAACCACCCTCAACCTTGTGAGACTTCTCTCATCCTTGTTTAACCACCCTCAACCTTGTGAGACTTCTCTCATCCTTGCTTAACCACCTTCAACCTTGTGAGACTTCTCTTATCCTTGTTTAACCACCCTCAACCTTGTGAGACTTCTCTCATCCTTGCTTAACCACCTTCAACCTTGTGAGACTTCTCTTATCCTTGTTTAACCACCCTCAACCTTGCTCGCCCACGTTGCCCAACCTTCCCACTGCCTGTCAATCGCAGTACCGTCTGAAATGTTCATGACGTCACCTCCGACCGGCGCGTTTCTCGGCGCATCCGCGCGTTTCTCGAGAGATATATCTCCTCTATAAATAAAACTTCATGATTCATTCGTCAATAAACGTTTAATCTTTATTAGAGCAATACCCGTGCAAAAGGTGGAGAGTATCCTTAATCTCACGGTAGGCGATTCTAAATTTAAACTTTTGATTTTAATGTCTCTGAATAACGCATGCGCAGTGTGTTCATTTTTGACTTTTTCTATGACTCTCGCATGTTGTCTCAGGGTTCGTAATTAATAACAAATTAATGGTCTCTTGCATTTCTTTGGATGGAGAGCGAACTGAGGTGATTGCTGCAAACTATTTAGGTGAAATTCTCTATACTAGTGTAGGCTCTGGGGGGGTGTTCGTGTATATGACTCTTTTAGAGCAAAACCTTATATTTTCTCATTCCTTATGGTAAGACTCTCAAAAAAAGTTTGGGTAACACTTCTGGGTCAAGTACGTTTTTTCTGTACAGCTAATTATGTGATTTTTGGTTAGGCGCCAAAGTTAAAAAATTACAATATTGAAGTTTCAGAGCATAAATATTTATTAAGCAATCATAAACTTTCAAATTGCACTGAATTACATTGAATGAGTATTACTAATAACTTTCTAGCATGATTTGTTGCCATAAACTTTGTTCATGGTACGAAATGGCTACATTTTGCTCAATTTTAGCCAAAAAATAGCCAAAATTGCGTTGACTTGAAAGTAGCTCTAAGTATGATTGCTTCTCACTCACCCAATATTGTAGCTAGAGCTACCAAAATTGGCCAAAAGTTTCCTTATTAAGTGCTCTAAGTGACCCAATGTTCAAAATGATGCTTTCCCGCTGTATATGATGCACAGGGGGGCTATTGTAACTCAGGGTCAACCCTACCCCCAAATAGCGCCTTTTGCGAATTTCGTCAAATGACGTAAGTAAGTGACATAGGAAGTTGATTTTGTGGCAACATATAGGTTTTTTGACACCAAGGAATTGATTGACACCATTATTATACATTTTGGAGTTCACCTAATTAAAAGAAGTATAAGATGTCTGCCAAAAGCGATAATTAAGACATGAATTGTCCCATGAAAGATGATTGAAGGATATACATGCATCATAGAACTGTACAGGTGGACGCTTTAGTGAAAAATAATGCCTAGGCTAATACTAGTCTAAAATATTCCTTGTTACCATACTCAGTTATAAATATATACAATGTATCTACCCTAACCGAACTTGAGACAAGAACAACTGAACCGAGCATGCTAGACAACATAGCAGAACCCAACCTAATCCTATCAAACAATTGGGTTTTTACAATCATGTGGTAATGTTTTCCTGCACTTACAAAATTTACCACATTTCACCCCAGCCTTTCTACATGGGCAAGTTGACATTGAACACTTAGCACATGAACAGGAGACTGACCAATGAGGCTCGAGGGTTTTCCACGATGTTGCGGGTACCAGCTGTTCTTGGTCGTTCACATAGCCACAATCCTCTGGCTTCAGTGTCTCAACGTTTTCAGGGTCGAGGTAGCACTCCAAGGCATGGTTGATGGTGTAGGCATTGTAGAATGCACGCTTGATATGAGGCAGGAGTCCCTTGACTAGTCGGTGGTAGGCTGTGGAGAGAGCCCTCTTTGCTGAAGTGGAAAACCTCTGCTCGATATTCAGAAAAACACTTAGCATTGCTACCTCTTTTCAGTACCTTCATTAAATAATGCTCGGCATTGCGGGTCATGGCCGGAGAGAGGGTTGGTGATTCTCCGAAGTGTTTCAGCAACTTTTCAGGCTCTGCCTTTAGAGCTGTCTTCTTTGTACCAACTTTGCTGGTTATGTCACACCCTGTAAGACTGTGTATAGCCGGCAGTACTGCACAGAGCCGATTACTTAATAAGGAAACTTTTGGCCAATTTTGGTAGCTCTAGCTACAATATTGGGTGAGTGAGAAGCAATCATACTTAGAGCTACTTTCAAAGTGAATGCGATTTTTGGCTATTTTTTGGCTAAAATTGAGCAAAATATAGCCATTTCGTACTAGGCAATAAAGTTCATGGCAACAAATCATGCTAGAAAGTTATTAGTAATACTCATTCAATGTAATTCAGTGCAATTTGAAAGTTTATGGTTGCTTAATAAATATTTATGCTCTGAAACTTCAATATTGTCATTTTTTAACTTTGGCGCCTAACCGAAAATCGCATAATTAGCTGTACAGAAAAAACGTACTTGACCCAGAAGTGTTACCCAAACTTTTTTTGACAGTCTTACCATAAGGAATGAGAAAATATAAGGTTTTGCTCTAAAAGAGTCATGTACACGAACACCCCTCCAGAGCCAGGAGTATACTAGCTGTGAGTTTGTTTGCCGAAAATTTATTAGACACCACAAACAGTTTGTGGCCCCAAAATTTCTTAGCCACCACAAACAGTTTGTGGACCTGAAAGTTTCTTAGCCACCATAAAAAGTTTGTGGACCCGGAAAATTCTTAGCCACCACAAACAGTTTGTGGACCCGAAACATTCTTAGCCACCACAAACAGTTTGTGGTCCCAAAAAACTCTTAGCCACCACAAATTCATTAGCCACTGCCGTTGTATGCTACCTATACAGAAATCCAGAGAGACATGATACAAGATTGCGTGGCACAGCTTTGCTGTTGATCCTGAGCGCTGCGCGCGCGGATGAGACGCGCAGTTCCGCGAGATATGCGCACGCGACCGCGACTGCGGGGATGTTCAAGTATGAAGCGCTGTCCGCAGTGGAGACGTGCGCCAAATTCGAGGCCCGGCGCACGTCTCCACAGCGGTCAGCAGATGGTCTGTAGTTTTAGAAGATGACAATGATTATATGGACGATATTCTAGAAATTTTAGATTATAAAACAGTAAAAAAATCGCTTAGTCATGCTCCAGATTAGCCACAAGTTCCATTCTCGCTTAACACTACATTGGCTACTGTTCCTACGACGTGTAACAGTTGGAGAGTCTGGTCGGTTTAGCCCCAGATTAGCTAAATCAAAAAGATTAGAATTTAATATGAACAAAACAAATATAATGGTTATATAAAATGCACAAACAAAGAAAGGATTGAGGGGATTAATAGGCAACCAAGTAATCAAAAATTGCACCAAATATTCATACCTAGGGGATTTAATTAATGATATAGGAGGTTATAACGCTATGATAAGAGTCTGAACTGAAAAATGTAGGTTAAGGAAAATAATTATTATGGGCAAAAGAGCAAAATTGTGGAAATCATACTATAGAAGCAAGAGTGAAATTATGCGAATACACAGTTTTACCTTTCTTCCTAAATAACATAAATAACTAAATAACATAATGGACTAACTTAACTAAGGAAGAAGTAAACATGTTGGAGGATATCCAAAATGATCCAAGAGATGGCGCTGTGGCATGTAAACATTGGCTCCCGAAGCGAGTTTTTTTACCGAAATGTTTACTGAATGACGCACTCGTTGACCTGCGACAGCGAGTGAAAATGCAGACATTTTTTCTCTTCGATGCAAAATGCATCGGCCGGGCATTTCATTATTTACGAAAATTCAACGGGCTGGCAGTAGATACAGGAGTCAGCTCACGTCGTTGACGCCCCATTCATGCCCATCAACGAATAAGGCGGGGCTTATTGTGCTTACAGATATGCGAAAATGCAACAAAAGAACTTAGCACTGTGCGCAAAACACCGTGTTATATTCGTATTTGTGGCAAACTCTATCGTATGAAATCGTTCTAGCCTAGCAGAATGCCCTAGTTCTTGAGATTGGCGATTCCATGCTCTAATAGTATTGTACCTAAAAGTTAGAAGAGAGAGGCACGGCGTAGACTGTGATTGGAAGACACAAAGTGTCAATCCTCGGCGAGCCTCGGCATCATGGCCGCATCACGTCTAGCTAGCACTATGCACTATGCTAGCTTGTATGCTTATAGGTACCTATATATAGCCCTATATCGGCCTATATATCTACTATATATAATAGTAGAAAGAGCTGAAGTGTCGTTTTCCGTATCTCCTCCGAAACCGTGCCGCGTGTGCACACGCGAATAGAGCTGTGGCCTCTTCTGGGCGGCGAGAATACATTCCGCTACGTTAGAATGCGATTTTCGATCGTAAAGTTACTTTTGGAGGCAATTTTCTAAAAAGTTATGTGCCCGAAGAAACTTCGGTATTCATAGGAAACCCGCACCAAATTTTGAAGATCGCCAAATCCGCATGCGCAAACATGCACACACCAAAGCCATTGCGGCTGCGGTGTATAAACAACCAAGCACTGCCGCGCACAGCTGCTGTGAGGCGAAAATTTACGGAAAAGAGACGGCTGCAGTTGTATGTGTGTGTGTGTGTGTGTGTGTGTGTGTGTGTGTGTGTGTGTGTGTGTGTGTGTGTGTGTGTGCGTGTGCGTGTGCGTGTGCGTGTGCGTGTGCGTGTGCGTGTGCGTGTGCGTGTGTGTGTGCGTGTATGTGTGTGCGCGCTTTTGTGTGCGTAAATGTGGTATGTGTGTGCGTGGGTGCGCGTGTGATTGTGCGTGCACATGCCCGTATGTGTGTGAATACGGTGTGTGCGTGCGCGCGTGCAAACATTTGAGAACGGGAGGTGTAACCGTGCCCGCGCTTACCCGGCTCCCAATGCTCTGCCATTTTTAGATGCCGTTTCGATTGTCTAAGCGCACACACACACCACACTATATACCATAACCTTTTGAAATTGTGTTAAACTATTAATGTGTTTTCTCACGGGTTTTAATAATAATATAGCTATACTAAATGTAGATTAAATGTATAATAATAAGCATTTAATTAGGTGGAGCCTTCACCTAGCATAGCAAGCCACCCTAAACGCACGCACGAACGCACGCAGGAACGCACGCACGCACGCACACCGGCACGCGCACACCCGCACACACCAAAGACATTGCGGCTGCGGTGTATAAACAGCCAATCACTGCCGCGCACAGCTGCGAGGCGAAAATTTAAGACAAACCCCAACGAGAGACGGTTGCAGTTGTGTGTATGTGTGTGTATGTGTATGTGTGTGTGCGTGTGTGCGTGTGTGCGTGTGCGTGTGCGTGTGTGTATGTATGTATGTATGTGTGCGTGTATGTGTGTGCGCGGCCGTGTGTGTAAATTGGTATGTGTGTGCGTGGGTGCGCGTGTGATTGTGCGTGCGCATGCTCGTGTGTGTGTGTGAATGCGGTGTGTGCGTGCGTGCGCGCGTGTGTGTGATGTGTGTGTGTGTGTGCGCGCGTGTGTGCAAATATTTGACAACGGGAGGTGTAACCCTGCCCGCCGCCGTCCACTGACTTTCAAGAAAATATATCTTCAAAACTACTCGATACATTTTGCTTTTTTTTAAGAATTTGTCTTATTAATGATGCTTCTAACCAGAATGATATTTTCAAAAATAATATCTAAATAAGTGAAATTGTACTATGAAATCACCCCATTTCCCTTTTTTTTTGCAAAAATTGTATGTAATTTTAAGGTAAAATTTCAGATTTTATATATATTTAAATACAATTTTTTTTAAACAAATATTGATATATGACTCGAATCTAAATATCAGTATTTTTCGTTTACTGTAAATACATCCTCAACTAAAAGTGAGTGATAAATGGTTAAACCGCCATCCTCAAATCAGACCCCACTCAAACCCGTCTCGAGGACGGGTAATAGCTAGTATATATATAATAGCCAATGCAAGCAGCACAATTAGATTATAGTCTACTTTTAACTCATACACGTGTGTCTCCACAGTTTGGTTGTGGTGGCTTAACATTTCGATACGAAATGACTCGGTGCTATATCACTAAGGCCTATGTAAAATTCCTCAACTTTGTGTCTAAAATTCCTTAAAATCATTTAATCGACCATGCACTATTGGTTACTATTATTATTTATTGTTGTTTTATAGAATTATGCCTAATCTCTAAAATTCCACCTATAAAAAGTGCCATCTACTGCCATTAATTTATGAATTAATGTTGGTAGCAATATGCCAATGTTTCTGTCATTGAAGTGTATTGATGCATTACTTGCCCTGGTGTCATTTTTGTGCAGGGCGATTGTCGAAACCACGTTCTAGACTAACTAGTATATTATTACTATGATTTCTGTGCAGTATTTCAGTGTAAATCTATTGGGCAGCTAGCTTTATAAAATAATGGGTGTATATATCGGTGTATATATCTCTCGTTGATCCGCACCTTTCTCGTCTGACTCGCATCCGCAGGTACCTGGACGTAGTCAAGCTTCCCGTGCCGGGGTCTGTCGGCGAGCCGCCTCCCCCGTGTGCGTCCAACGGCGTCGTCGACGGCGACGTCATCGGCGGTGGCGGCAGCGGCGAGCGCAAGTCGAGCCTCGGCTCGCTGGAGTCAGACGAGGCGCGCAGCACCGTGAGCACGGCGTCGAGCGGGTCGGCCGGGGTCGTCGCCGCGGCGACGGCAGATGGACGGCGGCCGGCGAACGGCTCGGTGGCGCGGCAGTTCAGCACGTTCGGCCGCTCGCTAAGCAAGAAACTCAAGCACAACTTTAGCTTCAGCAAGAAGCACAAGCCAGGTGAGTAACAAGAGACCGTGCGCACGGGGTCACTGGGGGCGTGGCGAGACATGGGGGGGGGGGGTAGGCGACGTGCAGGGTGGGGCTAAATGACGCGGGCGATGCACGGGGTCAGGCTTAGAAGAGGGTGATAGGTGAGGCAGACATGTACAGCGAGCGAGACGACGATCGGCATGTTAGACGTCGTCGCTGTGCATTTAGAGGGACAAGCGAAACTTGGGCCGGGTAAATTTAGGGAGACAAGCGAGACTTACCGCAGTTAATATAGTGCGGAAGTGGAGGGTGGAAGAAGAGACCTTTGAACAAATACTACTTTGTTACATAATACTAGTATCCTTTATATATAGTACAGTACATAAGTAAAGTATATAATACTATATGCTTCCTTCACTGAGCCGTACACCCTTTCTGAGCACGCTAACTATGACAGACCTTTGAGCCGACCCAACGAGTAGTCAACGTACGCTCTTCCGTACCTTCCACGCAACCCCTCGCTTTTCGTCTCGCAGGTCGGATGGCAGACGGTGCGCGAGCGGATGGCCGGGACGACCGCGCTGCCACCGCCACGCGGACAAAGAAGGCAACCGCAGCGGCGTGCGCGGGGCTGGCCCCCCCGGCGATAACGGTGGTGCAGCGGGAGGACCGCAGCGGGCAGCCGACGCAATACATGCTGTCGGCGCGCATCTGTACTGACCGACGATTCGAGTACCAAGAGGAGATGCTGCGCAACTACCTGAACTCGGCGCGGCGGCGATACGAGGACGAGCGCCGCGCCATCGAGCTGCAGCTGCAGCGGCGCGGTGGTGGCAGCAGCGCGGGCGGTAAGCCAGTGCCGTGCGTTAACGCCGGCTGCGCGCTCTACGGTACAATCACGACCAACTATCTGTGCAGCAAGTGCTTCGCGCGCCAGAAGGAGCATGCAGCGACGCTGGACCGCGCGCGCCAGAAGGCGAGCACGCTGCCCAAGTTCCTCGCGGGGAAGTCAAAGTTCTACACGGAGGTCTCATTCCTCGAGCGAGAGCCGTACAGCGGCGGCGGGGTGGCGAGGGGGGGTGGCGCCCCCGCGGCGGTGGTGGAGAAGGACGGGCAGGGGGGAGACGCAGACGTGCGGCTGCCAACACTGCAGGAGGCTGCTCTCACGACACTCCACTGCGAGCTGAGCGGCGATAAAAGCAAGCGGCTCGTGGCAGGTGGCGCTGGCGCAAAGGCCAGCTCCCTCCCGCGCTCTGTCGCGCCCCCGCTGCTCTACAGCCTCCCGCCACCAGGTGGCGTCGTCGACGTCGAACAGATTGTCGTGACCGTGAAAACGGCAGAGCAGGCAACAAAGATGGGATGCGCAATCGCCACCGCAGGGGCGCCACCGGCGAGGAAATCAGGCTCTCTGATCGCTGCCGCGGGGGCGCTACCGGTGATAAAAGTGGGATCCGTAATCGCTGCAGCGGCGGCGCCACCAGCGATGATGGTGGGAGCATCGACACCAACGAAAACGGGCTCCGTAATCGTCACTGCGGGGGCGCCGCCGGCGACAAAGGCGATATCGGTGACGGCAACAGCGGGGGCGCCGCCGGCAATGAAAGCGGAGCTCCGTTACAGACAGCAGAAGCAGGCGTGCAAGACGCGGGGCTGCCACGCCTTCGGCGAGGAGGAGATGGAGTTCCTCTGCTCGGCGTGCTACCAGGAGAAGGAGCGCTCGCAGTCGCTTACGCCCTACATCATCTCACATCGCATCTGAGGCAGGAGAGACGCAGTCGTCACAGGATTACCGCCGCGGCGCAGCCGACATGCTACACGCCGTCTTCCGACGATCTACTTTCCCTCAGCTGCCTCTGTGAAGAGAGAGAAGCATATACCCACGACTCATCGCAGTGTTGTGAGCCTCTCTGAGGTTGAATGGACGGACGCGGGAGATTAGCGGGTGGTCGTCGTCTGACGGCTTGACGTCGGGAGTTTGGAGTTTATTCGATTGTATTTGCGGTTGCAGTGTTTCGTTTAACTTATCGAAATAATAATAATAATAAATGGCTTGACCAAAATGCCTGTATTCTGCGCTGCTGCTGCTGCTGATGATGATGATGCTGCCGTAGTTTGCAAGGTTGTTAGATCTGATCTCAGGTACATGGCCCTTAATATATTACTGGTTGTTATGCCGCAGTGTCTGCTCGTTGACTGTCAACGGTGCTTCTGTTAGCATAATTTCCTAAGCAACTAAGGTGACAGATGCCGGATTATGCATACATCTGTAGCAAGGTAATAACTGTGTGAGATATATGCAGAATTTTGGTGTTTAATCACATGAGCTATCATGAAACTTCTCATTAACCTGAGACTAATGGAGTCAGATTCAAGAACCTGTAGCTTCCACCCCTTCGGCGGTGGCAAAACTAAAACCCCCTCTTCCCACCCCTTTGGTCACCTGTAGCTCCCACCCCTCTGGTGACCTGTAGCTCCCACCCCTCTGGTGACCTGTAGCCACCACCCCTCTGGTAGCGAAACTAAAACCACCCACCTCACACCCCTCTGGTGGTGTCACCAAAACCACCTGCTCTATGGCTGTTGTGAATAAACTGTCCTCAACACAAACTTCACCATTGTACGACAAGGGACGGTTGTGTGCAAAGATTTTGTTTTTCTGAACATGAAAAAGTTTGTTTCTACTGTATATTTATGTGTGTGTGTGTGTGTGTGTGTGTGTAGCATATGCTTCCCTTCGCCCGGCGCAGCCACAGAAACGACCAGACATAGGATTGCGGGGCGACGCTGCTGCATGAGGCGCAGGTGCAGGCAGGTGACGCTGCGTAGGCGAAGGTGCGCAGGCCGCCTGGCTGTGAGCGGCGGCTTGCGGCGGTGTTCACGGGCGCAAATGTTGGCGCAAGTGCGCAGGCAGGCGCGCCAACAAACAGGCGTAGGTAGCTGCCGTTCCTCGTCTTGACGTTGTTGCGTGGTCCATGACAATGTTAAGTGTGGGCGTAAACACGTGCACCGTGTCATACGGGCCAGGTATGTGACAATGACTGGCCGGTAATTGCCATAGCGGCGTGAGACAATTTTGTAGAGCCGCGGTCAGCTGTATAAGCCGGCGGAATAAACATGAGTTAAAGTAGGTCCGCTTTAAACGGCGTCTGAAGAAACTACATGCGTTTAGATGGAAAGCCGCGTCTTAAAATTATAAGTAGCGCTTTACGAACAAGGTAACCATTTACTCCAGTTAGCAAGACTAGTGCTACGGTCGACACGCTGCACGTCGTCTTGAGGCCGTAAAACTATCGACTTATTGCTCGGTATTAAATTCAAATAATGGCCCACTTATAGGATTGGAGTGTGCATCGGTGAAATGGCGATGCACACCGCTTAACGGCGAATGTACGCGAGTATTGTTGGCGTCATTACATGAACCCGCAAGAGTAGATAATAAACACAGTAACACATCCCAGATCCCACCCGCTATTTTCTTAAAGACCGATTTAAGTTTCGTCAGATCAGAAGAAAGAGTATGAGCCACCAGAAATAGAATGCATAGCAACTGTGTATACTTCTCACTTATTTGACACTAATCACTCACGCTTCGGGTGACGTGGTGCGAGAGTGAGTGGAGTGCGTATAGTGACATAATAAGATTAGTAGCTGAAGAGACAGAAAGTAGAGATTAGCTGATAAAGAAAACTACGTAGATCTTGGCGAAACACGGTGAGCGTGAAGTTCTGCCAGCGGCACAATTACACGGCATAAGAAATGGACGAACTGAGTGGTGGTGCGACAAAGACACGCGAAGTGGAACTTAAGAGGCGCTTATGACGAAGGGAAATATTATTAACTATCGGGGCGCCAAAATATGTAGGGCAAGAATGCGTGAGACCGGTTTCCAGGAAATATAATGACGTATTTATTGGGCTCCCGAGAGGTGAGTGTTCTTTAATAATGAGATCTTGATATAACTGCAGCGCCGTGGACCGTTATAATGGTGTCATACATGATAATCGTGGAGAGAACTATACATGGAGAATTATATTGCTTCATATTCGGTATTAGTTACGTATATGTAGTAGTACGTGTAAGCGTATTAGTGAGACTCAGGTGTTAGCTGTGTGTGTTGCCGATCACAATAACTGAAGAAGCGAGTAACTCGCGGGTATGTCATGAGCACGTAGAGTCTAAACTGTGAAATTTAGATTGTCTCTCGAGACCCTATCGGGACCACGAAGTAGATATTGAGAGGACAACAACAGTGTTACGCAGCGATTTGCTATGAGAAAGACTCATTGAGGGCGCCTAACCGATCAGAGATGCACTTCTAAAGATCATGGTCTAAGACCAAGGGTACAGGAGCGAACAAAAAGCGGATGAAACATTAGTTTGCGAATGTATCAGTAATTCTGTGCAAGATTACGATTTACAGCAATACGCTGTCAAATATATGTAAACGAATATCAGTACGCACAAGGTAGTGATTAGTGGTCATGAATAAGCTGAGGATACGTATACACTTGCTTCTTTATTGGTGGCCAATTTGATGAGAAAATCGGTTATAAAAAAATGACGGAATCGAGAGGATAGATGGGTAGTGAACTTCACTTGTTATTAAATTATTCTTTATCTGCGTTGAAGTGAATCGTCGAGATAGTGATGAGCGATATTTACTCTTTGAGCGCAGTCGAGATATTGCGTGCAGTGGCCATAATTCGTGCTGCGTATACACTGAAGAGAGGGATATCAGTGCTTGCATTCTCTAGCACACTGGCTGTATCGTGTCATTCGTGGGGGCAATCGACAAAACGACCCTGTGCGACCAAGCTCCCTGACGCATTGGTCGACTGGCTGTCGTGGGGAACCGGCACGAAGGAGGCCGCTGTGTGACCGGGCATCGCTGCTGCCTTGTCGACGGGCTGTTCGGGAGGCGACGAAAGGAGCCCTGTGTCAACCAGCGTCCCTGACGATTGGTCGTGAAACGTGACGTTTCGACCCGTAAGCACAGTTGTCTATGCGGCATCCCACCGAGAATGGCATGCGTGTCTAAGATTACTCACATGTACATCGCGAGTACATGTTTGGCCTTGCGCCTTAACTACACAGTGGCTGTGGAGGAAAGTTGTGTCGACCACGGTATAGTAAGGCTGCCAACGTGGGGTTAAAAAAAGGGGTCTCCTATGTCAAAGGACTGCACCGCATCGCGCGCCTACCATAAGGGCGCTTATTTCGCGCATGTGCCACTTAGTGTCAGGCTGCATCGCAAAGATTGCTCGGTGCAAGCGTACAGTAGCGTGAGTTACTGGTTCTTAGCGTATGAAAATCGTTATACGGAAGCAATTCACGGGTAGTTAGTGAGACACTATACGAAGAGACTGAAATGCAGTCTGTGCCTCGTCTGACCACACGAAGGGGTTGTCCTTGTGAGTGTGGTCGTGGC